GAGTTATCACTAAGACGCGGTCGGGGGGCTGGCTCCATCTTCCCTCTCTTGGGGGAGGACAGCAATATACAACCATGCTGTCCCCCAAACTGTGCTTAAATAGAGCCAAGCTTAGCGCAGGAGCAGTCAGTTACCCCCTCTGCATCCCCAAAAGCCTGTTCTCAAAGTCCAACTGTATCAAACACTCAGACTATATGGATAAGTATAAGCGCACACCTGGCCTACCCTGCCTAGATCAGCTAATAACATGTCACTTCTTCCTTCTTTTTAGGTCTCTGTCATCTTAGTCCGTACCCGCATGAATGGAAATGAATCACAAACATTCAAGTGTTTTCAAGTGAGAAAGGGAGGCACTTTGAGTCTCACACTGCTGGCTGCTACACCTGTCTCTACATCACATATAAAGCTCTTTCATGCTGCTCAGAGCACAAGTATTCAACCGCTTATCAATTCAAACTATGAATTATTATGAAATAAAGAAAGGAACACAGCAAGGAAACCTCCAAATCACACTGACTCCAGTCACGGAGTGTGCCCACACACAGTGTTTTGCTGAGCATGTTGCTGTCTGGGAAGGGGCCTCACGCGTCCCGGCCCAGGACCCCCACACCGCCCCGGAGCTCAGCACAACCACGATGAAGCAATTCCTGCTTATTGGGACATCTCTGGCTCACACAGGTCCATTTGGCTACGTGCGCTCTTTAAAAATCAACATCGCTGAAACAGGGAACATAAACAAAGGAGGTCAGAATCACCTGCAAGTACTTTACCGATGCAAGATCATCACTACCATTCACTTCAAACAGCAAAAAAACCCCATGATTAGCAATAACTTAGCCAGGGAAGGAGGCAAACCCCCCACACGTCACAAGATTTACAATTAACACGTGCAGTCACGACCATCCCGAGTTAAGGGTTAAGATCGCAGGAGCAGGGCATGGTGCTGCCCACGGTCACCCCTGACCTGTGAGGCCACAGAGGAGATGGCCGCCCAAGCCAGGCAATCCCATCCCGAATCCGAACACACCCAGAGGTCAGCTCTGCTATGAAGAGCTGTCCAAGGCTCTTGCCATTCATTCAAAAAATGCTCTCCTCCATGTGAGGTCACTTAGTGCCAAGCAGTCACGCTCCTTTAATTTAAGGAGCACATCCCTGAAGCTACTTCAGGCTTTTCTCCCACAACACAAAGTCCTCCAACTTAAAGAGAGCAAAAGCCAGTCAGCATTGAGGGCTGTGAATGTGCAAAGACCGGACCAGAAGGAACCCAAGAGAGAAGGGACTTATCCTCCAAGGCCTTGTCTGCACCCACACTTGCAGATCAGCACCCCGTTCTGCATTGGAAGGAAGCAGGAGGGTCTTCAGAAATGAAGCGTTACCCTGCTCCCTGCTAGGATGTTCAGGTAGGCCACAGCTCAATGCAGGGCAGGGCAGGACGGACTGACCACCACCTTGCTCCTTCGTGTATCGTCATTTGGGGAATCCTCCTGGTAAGCTGTCCCTGGTACTCATGGGGCTGTCAAATATGGAGTCCTTGAGAGGGGCCCAGAATGGTCTTGGTCACAGCAGAATGACGTTCTGGACATTTAGCCCATTTCAAAAGCCTCCAGTCAGTAACCGGGTCTCTTGATGCCTATCTTCCACAGGCAGGACTTCCAATTTCTTTTCAAAGGGCCTGTTTTTTTTTCCCCTAGATTAAAAAGAGCATACAAAGATCTTACCTAGAACAAACTTCTTTCCAGGGGAGGAAAAAGTTCACTAATACGAAAAAAAGGGAAAGGGAGGACTTAAAAAACAGCCTTGGGAACTGTAGGGTGAGAAAAATTAGTTGTGCTTTAGCAAAGCTGTGGTGAAAACACACCAGTTCTGCAAGGTCACTGATGAGCGGCGAAGGCCTGCAGTGAAGCGCCGAGAGCTCTCCAAGGGCACGAGAAACTCGGCTCAAGGTCAACTGAGGGTTTTTTGCTCATTTCCACTGCTGAGAACAGCCCCTTCCTCATTGCAATGTTAATTTCCAACAAAATACGGAAACACCACCTACCTTCTGAAACTAAATTATTAAATTACCTTGTAGTAAAGACAAGCACGGACAGGAGCAGTTTCTATGGACAACTGACCTGCTGAGGCTTGTCCCCGTAGCCGTACCTCACTGGGAGGATGAGGGGAGGCTACAAACTGTTGTCACCTCTCCTGCCCCATGCAGCTAGCGACATTTGCTCGGGCATTTGTTCCTCGAGACAGAGGTTACTGCTCTTCAACCTGCCTGAGAAACCTTTTTCCCTCTCTAACACAACCCCAATATTATGTGAATCCCTCTCGCATTCATATAAATACATATTAAGAAACCTACTTGAAAGGGCTGATGTTGAAATTTGTCTGCAACTCCTTTGCTTAAAGTTCGCTAGTGTTTTACAAAGGCTGTCTGCAGTAGTGGTGGAATTGCTCAAGTACAGCTCCTGAAACGTGAAATAATGAACAAACAAAAAACAACAACAAAAGCAAAACAAGGTCTCCTACTCTATCAGCAGGATAATGTCCGCGTGGGTTTTTTCTGCGTAAAACAGATTGTTTCTTACACAGTTGTCAATGAATTTTTCCAGCGTGGGATGACTCCTCTAATAAATAAAAATATTCATACAGCAGAGATGCACGTAGCAAGCTCCTCTGGATGAACAAACAAGATCAACCTGAAAAAACATTGTTTGGCTGAATACAAGCGTCACTACAAAAGTCACCATACCACCTATTTTTTTTCCCCTCAAATGCCTCCTTCCCCTTTAGTATGAAAGCATCCCAGAAAATGTGTCCCTTTGAGTGTTGTGAACCAGTCACATTCATGAGATTTAACGCACTTTGCCACGGCAGTGTTGCCAGCCCACCAGAGGAGACTCATCACGGGCCGTGCTCAGACCAAGACCCCCAGGACCGCTGAAGTCATCTCATGCTTTATAGAGTAAATTCAGTACCTGACATGTTAATAAATACCAACTTATTTTAGTAAGTTTGTTTACATTTCAAGTAAGCCAACAAGCATTGATAAAATTCACTTCATCTCAAGATCACAGAATCAAACATTCTGTGAAAATAGTTACAGCTTAGAGTTTGACATTAATCCAACTTAGATAAGAGAGTATCTGGAATGATTCTATTGATTTCTGCAACTTACTGATTAAAAAAAACAAACCACACTACTCAAGCAGTAAACAATTATTATTTAGCCCTTATCTCAAAATACCCTTTTGAAGTTATTTAACAAAAATAAACATGATGTAAAATTACAACAGCTCTTCACTTATGAAACCTGTAGCATAATCTGTAACAACTAAAGTTTTTCATTGGACTGTGAGCCTGGCTACAGACCTGTAAATAAAGGACTCGTGACAAAGTCTATGACACTGCCAGCATCCCAAGGGGAGATCTGCTGAGCTAGACTCAATTTTATCATAGAAACCTGCACCCCAGTAACTCGGAGACAAAAAAAAAAAAGGAAATTACCATGGTTCTTCAGAAAAGAGGACACTATGGTTGCTATAGTGAAAAGTAAATATATAATTAATGATTCATACAAAATATGGGCTGACAAATAAATGGTATTTTCAGAGTAAGCATATCAGAGATTTGGATTTCACCCGTCTGAAAACAGATCCAGTATTGCTACAGAAAGAAATTGCAAAGTTCAATAAAACTCTATAAATAGAACAAGTATTTACTTTCAGAAAAAATCAACATCATCCTAAAGCAGTTGTGTCTGTGCAAATCTGGGACTCTGGAAAGAAAACTGCTTCCTTCCGACGTGCAAAGCAACCGAGAATTAACCAATACTTCCTGCTCTAGCATGGATTTAAAATAAAGTTCTCGCATTTCCATTTATGTTCTTTAACAGCCAGAAGAGCAAGGGGAGCTGGGAGTCGGATTAGCCAAGCAGGGAATGTTCTCCAGAAAGCTTTATCATGAACTGGTTATTTTGGTTCCTGAATGTAAGTGGCAGAAAGAATAAATGAATTAGAACACAGGGCTACCAAACTAACTTTTTTTTTTTTAAACTAAGAGCAACCAAAATACATCATTCTGCTTTTCAGAACAAGCCACTCTAACGCAAAGCTGATCACATTAATGTTGTGTTTCATAACAGCCCATGGAGACAAAGCCAATTAACACTGTGGCCGCCTTTGAGTATCATCTTGTCTGGGGCCTAGGAAGAAAGCAGAAGTTAACAATTAGATGTGGCCTTTACTAAAAAATTAGTTTATTTTACTAATGTTAGATTTTGAGATAAAGGCATAGCTTCATGGTGGCAGAGGCACAGGAAGGTACCAAAAATAGTTGAGTGTGTCTTTGACTATGAACTAGAAACTTCTTGTTTTGTTTTATGTAACAACCACATAGCATAAAATTCGGATGATCTGGCATCTTTTGAACTTATTTTTATGTCACTCATTTTTAAATCCAAACGGCTGACAGTGTCTAAAAGCAGTATTAAATGAAGTACAGCTACGAGTGTAGTGGGAATAGCAGATACGATCCTCAAAGTGAAAATCTGAAGAACCTTCTTTTTAAATATAGGTTAAAAAAATTACTATCATACTGCATTAATGGATTTTTTTATTCAATACACAGCTCTTCCATCTACTTGATATGGAAGCAGACAAACATATCCCTTAAAGAAAAAAACCGCCAAACAACACAATACTTCTCTACTGCTTTAGAACTGATGAATGTGCTCCCATCTCTCCTAGACTTTGTGAAGAAAAAAAAAAATTACCAGCAGGAACTCTTAGAAGAGTGCCTTATCAGGAAAGGCCAGCCCAACCACTTGCTATTTCAGTTCTTCCAGCAATGTCTTAATTGTGTGCAACGAATAACCAGATGCTAGGTATCGTTACAGTATGGCACAGTGAACAAATACCACCCACAGGCTGGGGTGGAACAGCAGCGCACAGGCCCAATCCATCTTTGCCTGTGTTTCAATTACATGTTTTTAAAAGCTTAAGACTTTGCCTGGATTCCGCAAATCAACCTTACTGCTAGAAAAGTTGCAAACAGCAACAAAAAAAATCATCAGTGTAAAAAGAAGCCAATGCTGTAACACATGCTTGAGCATAGAGCTTCCACGCTCCTCTTTATTTCAACAGAGATGATTAGTTAAGGTGCTTTCAGATTCTGCACGGCAGATAGCTTGGCAGAGGTGGCCGTTGAATGAGCTCTTAACAGTCTTTAGCGGGGATCTGAGGGCAGCTCCTACGGCAGAACCCCCAAACTGCTAGTTCCTGTAGCGGGGCATCTGTGGAGCAGGGGCTCCCTCTAAGGGGGCTGAGGAGGAGACTGTCATCAGCTGTCCCGCATGCATCCTCTCATTCACTCGCAGTTCACAGCCATCCTGCAGCATCCTTATAGCTATCCTTGCGATGTTTTTAGAGTCATCAAGTCCACTGTGAGGTCTCCCATCATAATTCATGCCCAGCTTTTCAAGCATGATTGTCAGCTTGGTCTGGTTCCTAGGAACCTGATGGAGAAAGCGAACCACATTCAAGAATTCAATTCTGTACCAAGTCTTTTTAATCTAACACAGCGCAGCAGAAACACATGCAGATTTTAAGTCTACTCAAGTCACGCACCACTTTCATGTTGCCTTTTGTCAGATCACTAACAATTTAACTTCAAAGCACCTTGGTGAGACAGACACTCTCATTTTTACAGAGGAGACACAGTCAACATGAGCTTGTCTAGACTCAGCATAATGTCAAGAGCCTCTCACCACTACCAGCACCAGCTCAAGGTGTGCCAGCACTGGCAACGGTGGAAGCCATGGCCTAGCTAGGTTCAACAAGCCTTACAAAAAAGGAATTACCACCCAAAGTGGCATTACAGAGGGAATCAGATTTTGGTTTTCCTTTTAAATGCCAAGCAATTAAAGAAGCACCACGCTCCTGATTCTTACTGACACCATGCTTCTGAACACCTCCAAACACCGCAGGAACAGACCAGCGGCACCCATAGCAGCCCATCTTTACATGGATGGCCGACAGCACGAACAGACAAGGAAGCTTCGCTGACTTAACCACACACAGTGCTACACCAGCAAAAGCCCCAAGTCCTCTCTTGATTAACTACTAAATATACTTTTGATCTTTGGAAAGGTCAAAGAAAAAAGAGGTAACTTTAAAGGAAAACTTCAGTTTGCTGTCTTGGTGGTGGCGGTTGGGGTGGGAGAACACAGGACACGAGAAGTTCCAGGATATTGCACCACACTACCGGATTTAATAGCTAAGGCAGAATGGTGACAACACAGCTGCCAAAACCCGGCAATACGCAACTCCAATAACAACACCCACAAACTGGGCAGGGGAGACATACTGCAGGCTGTGGGATATTCCACAGAAAGTTACAATACATCCCTTGTCATTAATTTTATCTATTACTATGACTTAACAGATTCGATAGCAGCACAGAATAGCTAAACAGAAGCAATGAACAACTATAAATGCTACAACTGTTTGCATTTATTAAAAAAAAAGAATTCACAAGAAGTAAAAAGAAACTGATTCCAAGTTACAATCTTCATTGCCTTTGATGAAAAAGCAATAGCTAAACAGAAGCAATGAACAACTATAAATGCTACAACTGTTTGCATTTATTAAAAAAAAAAAGAATTCACAAGAAGTAAAAAGAAACTGATTCCTTCTAAGTTACAATCTTCATTGCCTTTGTTGAAAAAGCACTCACTGCTCAACAGAGAAGGAGAAAAAAAGGTGTGTCTAGGTTAACCCTGATGGGATTAACCAGACTGTTCTGTGTTCTAGCGTGTTCCCAGCAGAAACGGTCATGCAGAGAAGGCATAATAACAGAGGGCGAAACAGAGTAACCCTGTAATATTCGCCCAGCACAAAGTAAAGCTCTTCTCTTACTAAATGTTAACCTCTTCTTTTTTTTCCTAGAGGTTACACTTTGTATGAAAAAGCCCTTCAAGAGAAGATCGTCAGCTAGGCTGAAATCACATTCAAACAAATGGTTTAGTGTAGACTGACTAGGAATTTGCTAGAATCTCCAATAACCCATTTTATGGCAATCTGACACTGAAAGAAGGCAGCAGTAAGGTCCAGCACTGAACTTGGTATTACTTTTCTCTTGACAATTTGATGTCACTGTAGACAGTCCAAAGCTTTCTCTGTCCCCATTACAGTGTCAGAATTTGAGATATCCGAGGGCAGTGGTGCAAATTAGTTTTGTAGTATATTACAGGAAAACAGAAAAAAATAATTGAAAAATCAAAACAGAGTCTTTTCAGCTGAACTACTTCAAGACACACTTGATCTAAGAGCACCACTATGACATTTTTAGACAATCCTTTGTGGAGCATCTCTTGATTGTTAAAAACAAGATTAAAATCAAAATGAAGTAGATTATATGACCTTCAACTAGTACAGTGAGATCTGGGCATGAAGCACATTTGAAAATCACGCTCCAGGCAACCAGTTTAAGTACTATAATTTTATACTACACAAGCAAAGATGACAAGCACAACAGGACACGCTAGACTTTTAAACCAAGTTTTCCCGCAAGAGAAACAACAACCTGTACAAACCTTATAGAAGTTCCCATATGATTTGCGAATATTGATCCACTTTTTGGCAAAAGAAGGGTATTTGATACGGCTAATACGGCACTGGATGTTCAAAAACTTACTCATATCCCAAGATCTTAAAAAGTCAAAAGAGAAAAGAGAAAAACATTAGTAATACGTAACTCAGATGCCCTGCATTCCACATATTGCACAGCTGTAGCACAAAAAGCTGTCTTTTCTTTGGTGATCAGTGGAAGGAAAACAGCTTAGGAAAAGCTCTTTTGCTATAGTCATAGTAAAGAATTTTTTCCTATGAATTCGTTAATCATGGGGAAAACAAATAATGACATGAACAAGATCTTCACTAGGATGGCTTCAGGTCTAGGATGGTTAAAACAAAAAAATAGCATGCCGACTTCTCCACCTATCACATCTGCTCCAAAAACTGCCAATAAACTGGATGCTTATATAGCCCTTGAAGAAGCAATCTTCTTAAATTTTCCTGATTACTTGGGTACGCGTGCGTCTCTCTACTTAACGTAAGTTACTGAAACAAGACTGCACGTAGTTTTCGTCTTCTTAAATTTTCCTGATTACTTGGGTATGCGTGCGTCTCTCTACTTAACATAAGTTACTGAAACGACTGCACGTAGTTTTCAGAGAAACCAGGCCTTTATGGAAAGAAGATGAAACTATAACCCCGTGCACTTCTAGCCCGCCTTCCTCAAGGAAGCCATCCCAACAAGTTTGTAAGCCCCAAGCTAAAATGAAGTCTTTCCCCTCCGACTCCCTTGCAGCTGTCTACACAATCTCACCTATATGACAAAGATTTCACTGCACCTATTTTCCTTGAGGAATTTCACTGAGGGGATTCCAGACATATTCTAGGCCAAGTAATATAACCCGTCTTGTGCCAGTTTTGCTTTAGCATTTTCTTTTTTTTTAATTCACTGTCACTTCCAAAGATAGAAACTTAATCATCGGTAAAAAATTAGTCAAAGAGCAGTATTTACCACAGTTCCTTAAACTAAAGTTGGATTACATTAACTCCTTATTTTTAAGGTGGATACAGATCTAAACTGTACACCCCAAGTCTTGTGTGACAGCTTTTAAATGGCTTCACTGTTCACATTGGACACAACCAGATTTCAATGACACAGGTTCTTCACCAGAAAACTGTCATCCAAATCTTCATGAATTTTGAGAAAACAGCCTCATGGGTAAAAAAAAAAAATCCCCACTCGCTAAGCTAGGTTAGTTAAAAAAGCTTGTGTTACATATCCATTTATCTCCTATGATACATTACTTTTCAAACCACTCATACTATAGACTGGAATATTTGTCTGTGTTTTACTTGACAGAAGTGTTAGGAAGTCATACTAAGACCCTCCCTGCTCTTTTTTCATAAACTCCAGTTTTGTTTCGGGGTTCCTCTCTCTCTGGTTCAACACGGTCATTTTAACAGAGCAGCACAGGATTGCCTTTTTAATCCAGCACAGTAGAAGACCCACTCCAGGCAAACAACAGCCACAGCAACACAAAAATGCATCATTCACCCCAACACAGCTAATGTTAAAAACGCCCTGTCCTACTGAAAACCTTCATTCCAAGAGAAGGAGAAAAACAGACATGTTAACAGAATAGTAACGTTTCACGGCTAAAAAGCAAGCATCACCTACAGAAAAATTCCCTGGCCAGTGCTGTGTAAGACAGGGCTCAAACAGTATCTTTCATCAGATAACAAAGCTAAGATCACAAGAACAACGCTGCATCACAGATGTATCTAGATCTCAAGATCTTCACTTTGCAGTCATTAGGGGACTTGATTTTCCAGGCAGACCTTGTGAGAGAGCAAAGTTCAGGTGGCAGTTCAAGGACTGGTCAGTCCCTCACACGCAAAGTTTGTCAGAGGCGGGACTCAGTAGAGCCACAGTCCTCTAAGGCAGAGCAGAGAGCTTTCTGCGCTAGCCATTTTTCCTTGTTCCATAGAGAGCAAAATCCATTATTGCTTTTTGGTGAAATATGCAGGCTGTATTAACAGTAACACTAAAACACACAGGATACAACATAACCACCATACATCTTTGAAACCTCAGATTCCGGAGAGCATGGGAGTTGCTTAGAACTGAAATTGCACAACATTATTTTCAGGTATTACGTGCTATATGAAAGCTAGATGTAAACGGAGAATTACAACAACAAAAAAGGATAAAAAGTCTATTCAACATCATTTAGTTGCATAAAGCAAGCTAGAAAAGAAACAGTGCCATCTAATGGATTTAAGCTTCATTTCAAATCGTTTAGTTCAGCTTTTCTGATTTTCCCAAAAACTGAAATTATAATAAAATGGCAAAATGGCAGTGTTATGATCCACCTTTAACAATACGCTCACAAAGATTAAACACTGTTTTGCAGTTTTAGATGGTGCTGAAGGTTGTGTAAGAACATACCCATCTGTCAACATGGAATAGCTATACTTTGTTCCCAGTTCTCGCTGTCTCATCCACTCTACGACATTCTGCAGAACTTGAGGAAATGTATCAGCTTTATCAACAATGTCCTAAGAGAACCAAAAAACAAAAGTGAGGAATGTTTTTTCAGAAAAAAAAAAAACAGCACGAAGTGTAAGAATTATATTGGTATACAGGCACTCACTACATCACACACTTGCTAAGTTGGCTTCACAAAAATCTTTAGAAACACATTGCACGTTAAAATAACCAATTGGACAGATTTTTTTGTACTAAAAAAAAAGGACCCCAAAAGCACCACTAAGAGAGCCAACCTCCAAATGGCATCTATAAAGGTAACAAGGTTAGTCAGCTGTTGAACTCAGATTAAAACCTTGGAGTTTGTTTCCCAGGCTCCTGCTCAAGACACTTGATCCTAAGCCACTGCCATCATAAGACTCTAAACCCTTTACAATAAAAGTCTTAGAAGAGGAATTGATGCAATTCAAAAGGTGCTTTCCTCTGCTAAAGGTTAAGTTTCTACACATGGATTAGAAAGTGAATGCTTTTCCCTCCAGCCCCTTACAGATACCTAAATGACCAATTTAGTGAAATCAATTCTGTGACAATTCAGAGGGGGGGAAAAACAAGGATTAAGAGAATAAACCTTACAGAAAAATCACCATGAAAGATTACAAGTCTGAAAACTTCAACACCACATCTCTTTTTTTTCATACTTTTTCCTGAACAAACAAAAGTGCAAATTACCTGGGTGATTCCTGTCAGACTGATGCAGAAGTTTGAAAGCTTGGGATTAATCTCTGGCTTCACGTATTGCTGAAAGGTATCTTCCTGTAATAAGAGGATCAAACGCTCAGCAGCAGCACACTATGTAGCCCACAAGGCAACTTCTTTGGCTTGCCCATAGCCAAAAGGCAGTAGCGGCTACCTGTCCTGCGGGAGGCAAAAAGGTACGCGTACCTCCCAAGCCAACATGAACCTCCTGACTGGGCACTGCGAGATTCCTGATGGGATGGATGGACGGCTTCCTAACCAGAACACGTCCCTCCTCTCAGTCAGTAGGCACCAAAGAGCAGGGATGGAGACGTAAGAGGGGAGAAGGACAGGTTGCAGTAAAGGGGAGGATTTGGGAAAAGGAAAGCATGAGCAGTGAAAAAAGAAGTGAGAGGCACGAAGAAAGCCTGACGTTTTTTAGGTGGTATCTCTAAAGGTTCACCTGTAGTTCAAGGCAGGCAACCAGCTGCACATCTCAGAGGCCGCACGCAAGTCATACCCCTCTGGATGCCAGCCAGGCCGAGATAAACACAATGACTTCACTCTGGGAAACCGAGCAGTCCAAGAGTGAAGACTACATGCAAGTTGCATGGAAAAAAGAAAGCCTCAAAACTCTGCTGCTATACAAAAACTTCTGGACAGGGGAAAAAACCACACTGTTTGCTGCTACTCTGAAAGTAACAAAACAATCTTGGTAATCTGCACAATCCTCTTTCTGCAGTTAGTCATACAGGCAGCTACACTCTGATGTAGCACGTCAGTGATTACTGGAAACCCTCCTCCTCTTCAAAGATCTTGATAAATGAACCATTAGTCAGCGGGGCGTGCACTTCCTTCGTTTCACCGAGTCACTCCGTTTTAGTTTGACAGCAAGCAGTTTTGCCTAAAAGAAAGTTGTACTGGAACAGAGTACTTAGGCTGCCAAATGCCTACTAAGTATGTTTAAAATCAGGTTACACAGCTGTCAATCTGTCAGGTATGTTGTGGAAATAGTCTAGCTATCCAAGAAGCAGAGTCCACTCAACCTCACTTTCTAGACCTCTGCATTAGTCTCTTCTAGATTGCCTCACAGAGGACCACAGAATTTGTGAATTCTTGTTTTGAATGAATCCCTTGAGTCCTAAAAATAGCCTTGTGGATCTTAAAGCAGGGAAAGAAGGGTGGGGGGGAGAGGAAGACTGAGAAACTGAAAGTCCCTCATATTAATAGAGAGAGTCAACATCAGGAATATGATCTATTCCAGATGCTTTAAGAATACAAAGTTTTGTTGGTATGTAGGAGGCACAGAGGATAGGTCAGGGAGGGGAGCTATTTTTACTGAAGTTCAACATCTACCTAGAAACTACTGTAGACTTTCTGAAGCAAAGAAGTTACATTGACGAACAGCATACTGACACAGTAATTAGATCACTTACTATTTCCAGTGTATGCGTGTTTAGTAAGACAATAGGAAACTCAATTATTTCATGTATGAAGTCAGGTGGGTTTCCCTCTTCACATGTTGCTTCAAAGTCAACAACACAGATGTAGTCGTAGCAGCTGTCTCCGTTAATGGGTTCCTTCTGCATCAGCTTCTGCTTCTTGTAATAGTTTTTCAGTCTCTTTTTCAGTACATCTTTCACTCCTCTAAAGAGGTAAGGAAAGTGACAAAGATCACACTCTCAAATAATTAATTATTTCACCACTGTAGAACTGAAACTATATTTAACATTTGAAAGTTCATCATTTATTAACCTCATTTTGAACACCAGCACTTATCAAGTCTGAATTCAACTTTATCATACAGTTAATGCTCCATTATCTGGGATAACGCAGAGGCTGTGATACTGCCCGACAACTAACACATCTAGATAGTATCAGTATTTGGGGACAGACTGGGAAACACAGCGCAGAGTCACTCTGCAGCCACCTCCAGTTCGGCAAGACTCAGTAGCCGAAGCCTTTGGAAAGCCCAAGTCTTTGCAGATTGCTCCTAGACGACCTCTGGCCCTGGAAGCAGTACTGCTTCACTCCTATTTCCCTGTGCCCTCTGCCTGAAGTGACCGATGCCCCAGGTATTTCTGCATGAGTGGCACAGATCCAGATGCAGAATACAGCGAAAATGCCTACATTTTAAATTCGTCTCAATTTAAATCTAAAACTGAGCTTGAGTAATTCGATTAAAATAAAGTACTCGAGATTTCAGTTGTCAGAAAAACTTCCTGGTCAAGATCCTGCTTTTCAGGAGGTTTGTGGCTAACATAAATTCACAGTTGCAAGCAATTAAAGTTACTTACTATGTCTTTTTAATACAAACATTGTAATATGCAAGTGCAGGTGCCAGAACTGCCACGTACCAAACCAGAGCTGAATAAACAAGGATAATTTACTCTTTGAAGGAAGTTATTTCTAAAATTACACATTGCAAATGAAATCACAGAAGCCGTAAGAGCTACTAGTAGCAAGCAGTATTATTAGAAAAGCAGCCCACTGATCCACAAGGCAAAACTGTAATCAGACTACTAAACCTGCATTTGAGAACATCAGCTTCTTCTGCAAACACAGATAACGCTTTTTCACCCTGGTTTATTAATCTAGTTTAATTCAATGACCAGTTCATTCAAAGTTGAGACAATATGGGAGTTGATGGAGGAGAAAATTACCTTTTTCTTCATCAAACCTGTAAAAGAAGTTGAAAGAGGAGATGATCTGCTATCAAAATAACCCCAAGGGAAAGGGTGGGGTGTGGCAATCTGCCCAGTTCACTACATTAGAGGCGATGCACTATTTCTTTACATGTAAGATGTATTCTGACCAACTTAATTGAACATATTGCCAATAGAAGTACAGCCTAGCTAAAAGAAAGGTTTAAAGCTTTCTGCATTTACAACTGAATAAAAAACACAAACAGAAAATTAATAACCTAGGAGGAAACCACAAACACATCATCTACTATTTGAATTCTGCTTTTTATTTTTAAATCAGAGTAACTGCTGAATTGCTGTACAAATCTAACCTGTTTTACCAAAAAGATTTATCGGGTGCTGATAAAATTTTTTCCTCCTGAGGAGCTAAATTCATCTAACTGAAGGAGGAATTAAAAACAAAAATGCAGCCAGAACATCTGCAGACAGACAAGGTGGAGGTGGCAGGCTGCACTTCCCACCTACACCATTTTTTTTCTTTTATTCTGTTTAAGTGAATCTCTCTTCCTTCCATATTTCCCCCCCTGAACATCCTCTCCCCTACAGTCATCGTCTTCTCTAGAAAGCTAAACTTCTCCTTTCAGATTCCATCTCACCTTTCATATTCCCTCTTCCTCCAGAGCAGTAGCTTCTCATTTTGTTAACTCCCCCCCCACCACCACTACTTCCTCACTACTGCTGCCAATAGAAACAATACACCTTGTTTTTCCCAGCTGACCACTTTCTTAACATCTCAAATTTGTCTGGCCACAGCAATATCAAAGGGTCTTGCAGGTCATTTCCAACAGAGCAGGAACCACTTTCTATATTCCTAGCCCCTTCCTCCTCCTCAGAGAGCACAAATCCAGTCCATAACCCATTGACCTACTCACGTTATTCTATCTATTCAGATTAGCAAACTATCCATTTAAAGGTACCTGTCCTCTGCACTAATTAAATTCTGAGCTCTATTACCACAGAGGTTCTAGCCAGTCTGGGATCTGTAGTGGGTACAGTAAATGAAAATATGTATGTTTTGAATCGAGTTTCTATATGCTGAAGGTCTGCACCACCACCCGAGAACCCCTGCAGCTCTTCTTTCCCCCTTGACCAAACACGTGTTGAGAAGCACCCTACAGTTACATAGTCTTTCATTTCTTTGTGTTACCAGTTGAGAACACACGTTTCCGATAACACATTATCACATGTACTAATCCTACAACAAAAGATGCATCAAGATCGCACATAAAACAACTAGCGTCTGGTGGCATGTCTGCTTTTTGCTTTGTGGTGTGTTTTTAAACTTTAAGATAATCATTCCTTACGGCTCTACTGCTCTCGAAGATAAATCAAAAGGTTTACAAATCAGCCTAACCTGGTTTCAAGCTTGAACTCTGCAAGTTTACTTCTGAGCTCATCTCTGGTCATTCTGTTGATATAACCATTGGTTATAGCAATTTCTTTGTAAACCGGATCACTGAAGTCATTCGAACTGGCAGTTGAGTTTTTCCCATTATTTTCTTGATCACTGATCCTACAATGCTGCCTACCCTAGAAGAAATAAAAATCCGACGGTCATTAAGGTCACAACCAATTGAAATTTACACATCGTTTTGGCACCAAAATGCAGTAAAACATCCCACTGTTTCACTCGTGACCAATCTGAGTGAACTAGCTTATAGACAGAAAAGAAAATCAATACTGAAGCCTGCTCTGAAACACCATTTTCCCAAAAACCAACAGAATAAAGGGATACTAACACACGTGTCTGAAGTCATGAAAAACAGCAGCTCCAAGACAAAAGTGAACACACGTCTGATTTCAACAGTTAGTTCTCCGGCTTGAGTTGGCAAAACCTGGACCAGCACCAAGAGATTTCTCTCGACACCTTAATTAACCAGGATCTACACTGACTGAGGCACACGGACAGATGTCCAGCGTGCGTAAAAGAAATAACACAATAAAGTACGAGGAAATAAGGAAAGGCACTTCGACTCTAAAGGGTTACTCGCAGGCTCTGTGGGGCGAGCAGACGG